CCCTTCGGGAAGGGGTTTATCACTGTTCCCTATTAATAAACACCCCCTCCCCCAGGCGACTGGGGGCCAACCAGGGTCCATGACGACACCTCCCACCATTCCTTGTCAAAAACAATGCCTCCAAATTCGGAACATGCGCAGCCAACCCGATGCGGCCCTCCCCCACCATCCCTGTCAAAAAAAATACATACTACACTTGGCGGCGGCGGCGGCTGCGGCGGCTGCGGCGGCGGCTGCGGCGGCTGCGGCGGCTGCGGCGGCGGCGGCGGCGGCGGCGGTGGCGGTGGCGGTGGCGGCAGCGGCTGCGGCGGCGGTTTGGCAGCGGGGGGCGGCGGCGGCGGCGGCGGCAGCGGCGGCGGTGGCGGCAACGGCTGCGCTGCGGCTGCGGCGGCGGCAGGCGGCGGCAGCGGCGGCGGCGGCGCGGCGGCGGCGGCAGGCGGCGGCGGCGGGCAGCGGCGGCGGCGGCGGCGGCGGCGGCGGAGGCGGCGGCGGCGGCGGCGGCGGCGGATTGGCCCACAGTAGCTGCCCATCCAAAGACGACTGCTGAATATGCTCACGCTCGGGCCAGACTCGGGTGCTACGTATGCGTTGGAAGGGCGGGTGGGAGTGAGCGAGACGGCTTGCGGGCGGGGAGGGTGGCTTGACCCCCCCCCCCTCCTACCCCCTCCCCTGGACCTGGAAGGGGGGTTCCGCGGGTCGTTGGGGCGTCCAAGATGGCCCAAGACGGCTCCAAGAGCGAAAAGGCGGGAAAGCAGAAAAACATTGATTTCCTTAGGTTTTGGAAGGATGTTGGCCTGTGTTGGTGCCCAAGAGGCACTCTGAGGGGCAACGCTAATTCCCACCCCCCGCTTCTTGAATAGATCTCGTCCAACATGGCCCCAAGAGCGCCCCGGAGGCTCCCAAGAGCGCCCCAAGAGCGCCCCAAGAGGGCCCCAAGAGGCCCCAAGAGCTCCCCGAGAGATACGCAAGAGGCCCCCAGGACCGCCAAGCCCAAAGACGGCCCAAGAGGCCCCCAAGCTCGCCATTGTCCTCCTCCTCCTCCTCCTCCTCCTCCTCCTCTTTTTCTTCCTCCTCCCGCCTCCCCCTCCCGCTCCTCCTCCTCCTCCTCCTCCTCCTCCTCCTCCTCCTCCTCCTTCCTCCTCCTCCCCCTCCTCCTCCTCCTCCTCCTCCTCCTCCTCCTCCTCCTCCTCCTCCTCCTCCTCCTCCTCCTCCTCCTGCGCACATCCCTCAAGACATGAGTCGTGGTGTCCACATGTGCAACAAAAAGCCGGCACACACGGCGAACATGCAAGAGACGACGGACGACGAGAGAGAGAGAGAGAGAAAGGCGGCTAGGCAGAGGCGGGGGCTGCCTGCGGGGCGGCCGCGGCCGCCAGGTCGGAGCCGAAGGCTCCCCACCGATGACCCCCCCAGTAGGGGTCAAGAGGCATGTAGAAGTCCTCCAAGTCCTCACCGTCCAAAGGCACGAAACTCCCAGGTGTCCCTGGCTGAGAGAAAGGCACAGCAACATCATAAAGCGCCTCCCCCAACAGACGACAAAAGAGGGGAGGGTATTGCTTGGCCTGTGCTGTCTTGAAGCTGCCGTCAGGCCTAAGGCCTGACAGGATCTCATGCTGGCCAGGACCGTGGTGACAGACACCTGAATGTGGGAGAGCCTGGACGCGGGCCCGGACTTGGGGACAATTAATAGTTAAAAGCCTCGTGGGTTTGCGAGCCTGGCAACCGACTGAACACTGATCTATGTCCACGAATTCGATGTCTTGGCACCGCCCCCTCCCCCCCAGGGTGAGCATGTAAGCGACCTCGGGGAGAAGCCAACAGGAGGGGAGATGGGGCCGGGGCGGGGGACCAGGGTGCTCCATGATAAAGGCCACCCCTGCACCAGCGCAAGCAACACCAAAGGAAAGGGTGGCCCTCATCAACGCATTGCCGAGGTCTACCTGCCGCCACTCTTTCGCCGTCCGAGCGGCGATCCCCCAAAGAAACTCTGAGCTCCTCACTACCCGGGGCTTATGCGAACCTGGGGGTGGGGGGAGCGCCCGGGCAGCGCTCCAAGTCTCGCAGGGTGGCCCTGCGATCACTCCCAACACCTTGCCCGTCTGTACGGCAAGGAGGAGGGTGGCCAGGCTATTCAGATTGGACAGATCACCTCGAATTGGATCATTCACTACATCTAAGGAGAGCATCACCACTTGAGCTCCTGATCTTACCTGCAGGGCCTCGAAATAAAACTGGATATCATATTCACGTCTCTGACCAGAAAAAAGATGAAACACAAACTTGACCCCGGACGTGTCGACGGGCCTGGGAACGGTCGAAATTGCCCCCTCCGGCACAGGGTCCACGGGGGTGGGAAGACAGTCTAGCTTGGTGATGTCTGGCGACCCTAGCACGTCCGCCGCCCCTTCAAGGCCAGGCCCTATAACGGGCACAGGGGGGATGCGGGCGAATTCGGCATACAGTCCCTGGCGGCGGAGCTCCTTAGTATCCACCGCGTCCGTTTCTTTCTGCTGCAGGACGGACCGAATTCCCATGGGCCTAAGGACGGCAGAGAGGTTTTGAAGGCACCTTCGGCGCCCATGCCTGAGATGTCTCAGGAGCCGAGGATGGGTCTGAAAATCCAAAAGGCAAGAGCAGCACACTGTGCCGCAGCCGTACTGTGAGGCGACATCGTGCTCTGGATGGGCTTTCGTGCGATGTGCCGACCACGAAGCTTTGGTATTAAAGGAGGCCTCGCAGTCAACGCATACAAATCGCACATCAGGAGGGGGAGGAGCCAGGAAGGGGGGGGGAGGGAAATCGGCCACCCGGCACAAGTCACCGAACTGGCGATGCCAAAGCTGGAGTCGCATCTGGTCGCGAAACTGTGCCTGGCAAGCTCTCTCCGCCTGTCTGCACCAGATCTTCCACTGGCGTACCCCAACTTGACGGGCCACCTGGATCCACCATGAAGGCGGTCCCGTGGGAAGGTACTGCATGGGCAAATCTATGTGGTCGGCCAGCCAGAAAAGGTCCTGGACCAGGAGGGAAGACCAAGACTCAGGATCTCCGAGCGCCGTGTCCAGAAGTGCCCACATCGCCGTCGAAGTGAAACGCAGAATTCGTGGGATGAGCCTGAGGCGCCTCAGCCTGAGGACAAGATGTGTGGGCAACTTATCTGTTGTGAGAAAAACTTGGGCATTATCAGACAACTGTAAATTGGCATCATGTGTTAGGCCACACGCGCCTCTGAGGGACAGGGCATAGTGATGGTCTAGCATTTGGGAAGTCTTAGCGTTAAGACGTGGCCAGATGCACGAGTTATAAAGCAATTGGGAGAGGCAGAGGGAGGAGGAGTATAGAAGCTTGGCCTCGTTCGGGATGAGGGGCTGCTTGAATACTACCTTCTTGAGGACTCCCAATGGGCGAGACTGTTTTCGACAGCGCGCTGCAACCTCTCGAGCCACCCCAGCTTTATCGTCGAGAACACCTCCTAGATGCACATAATCCCGAGTAAACTTCAAAGACACACCAATCCGAGGAAGAGGTAGAAGGTCATCTTTAAGCTGAGCGATCTCAGCACGAACGCGCCTGGAACAGGGACCTGAGAGGTACGGCATCATCTCGGATTTGCCCACCTTATAGTTGACCCGAAACCCCCTGATTAGGGCCTCCTCGTGAACAACCTCCGCCATGGTTTCTGCCACCGCACGCCAAAGGAAGGCCTCTTCCAGCTCAACCGCTGTGACCAGATCGTCGACATAGGCTGGACCCCACACCTCGAAATCCTGGGCCTGGAGGTCCCTGGGCAGGAACAGACATTTCGACGCGGAGCTTACCGACACCGTTTGAGGCCTGATCAGTAGACTTAGACGACGGTTGATTTCCTGCTGCATGGGGCCGAAGATGAGGTTGAAAAGCAGATCTGCTAGGGGCATTCCTGGCCGGGTGCCTAGGGACGGCATGACTGCTAATTCGGATCCTCGTACGGTGAACCAGGTGCCAGAGACCGAGTCGACTACCTCCGCCAACAGATGCTTATCCTCTAGCTCGTCTAAGATTCCTGGCGCGCAGACTATAGTCTTGGCCATAGGGACGAGGAGCTCCGGTATACCCAGCTCGTCCAAGTATTCTTGAAATTGCTGTTCGGACTGGGCTGTCTTAGACAGCAGGGCCTTGGCCACCGAGTAGAACGCTGATTTCAAGTCCGTGAAAAGTACAAGCAAAGACCGGCCCCTGGTTTTAGCCCCGCTCATCATTGCTCTCAATTGCAGGCTGGCTAAATCTGTCCCCCTCCCTGGTAGCCCACCATACTGAAAGTCATTAAGCATGTGCTGGGTGGCCTCCAGGAGCTTGGCACGAAGAAATGCGTGATGTACTTTTGCTACGTGACATCCGAGCATGATCCCTCTGTAGTTGGCCATGGGCTTGGGTGAGCCCGATTTGAAAAGGTCGACCTGCCATCCTCCTTTATGCCCTAGAGGTTCGCGTCCAGACAGAGACACTTTGACCAGGAAGGGGGTCCAGATATCCGCGGAGAGCTCAGCGTCGATCTTCATAACTTCCACTGATAATGCATCGGGGCCAACCGCGCGTCCAGTTTTGCATTTTTGAAGTCCCATCTGGAAGCTTCTCTTGGACATCACCATACCCAGCGATCTAGGGAACTCCGGTTGTGACCTGCAACTGTCATTGTACTGCTTCTGCATGTCGTCCCAACTCATGATGTCCCCCCTTTCTGTAGCGGCGAAGTGGCGAACGAGGGCCTGTGACATGTCGGCGCGCGAAGCAATGACGTTTCCATCCTCATCATGACGAATCGGCAGCCCAGGGGTATGGAACTTGCTCGGTCGGCCTCCAAAACGCTCAAGCTTACGTAGCATACCCCACTCCATGCCCGACTGATTCACCCCCCTCGCGTGCACCAGTTCACCAGCCATCTGCGTGAGGAGGGCTGCCTTGGATTCTCTGAGGAGCCTCCGAAGGGCTGGTCTGGTGCCTCGCAAGAAAGATAAAATCGCCTGGTCCATATCAACCCTCCCCAAAGCTCCGCTCTGAAAAGCCTCCAGTGCTTCCTGAAGTGTGTCGGACTGAGCTAAGATCGACAGGTCCTGGCATGACTCGAGCGCAGGGAAGTCCAGGGAGGCCACCAGCAGGTTGTCGATCTGACTAGCGTTCATGCGCCTCCAAGATCTAGAAATCTGTCGAAGGCGCCTTCGAAATGCCACGACACAGAGGACCTCGGGCGTGATGTAGGGCTTAATGGGGTTCTGGGAGCTCCGAGGAAATGCCACCCTGAGGGCTTCCTGGTAACACCATGTGATATGATCTGCATGCTCGTTCACGTCCAATACGGCGGGGGCCCGAGGGAAACTCTTAAGCACCTGACGGAAAACCTCCCTGCGTTCGGCGTCCTGGAGTGCGGCTCGATCGATCTGGCCCTGGATGTCGATATTCTTACCAAGACTCTTTGAGGCAAACACAACCACCACTGGGAAATGATCAGGTCTCTCGAGGGCTACGTCCAAATCGGGAATGACGAAACAGCTCTGAGCAATATCCTTCCAGTGATCCGCGGCTGCAATGTAGTCTATCCTATGTTCCTTGGCGCCTACCGAAGGTCTCCATGTCGCTCCCGAGCCCGTCTGCGGGATCAGGGTGTTCAGGGCTCCCAGGTTACCTTCCAAGAGAGTGTCATGCCAGTGCGCCCCGTTCTCATCCTCCTCCTGCCTGTATCCCTCCTCGCCTACGGACTTCGAGATGATCTGGCCTAACCTCCCGTTAGCGTCAATCATGCACATGTCCACCTTCCACCTGGCAATCACCCTCTTGATGTCGGCCCACCACTCCCGCCTCTCCTCCTTGGTGTACTCTGACCCGCTGTGCAACGCGTGCGCGACTAAAATGGTCATGTTGAGGTAGGGGGCCTGGCACCTGACAACCAGGTGGCGTGGGGAAGCTTCCAGCGGACGAAGGTGCCTGGGTTCCAAGTATAGCGGGACTTCCCCTCGACGGCAATATGGGATAACTGTGGATGTCCATAGTTCTACGCCCAGGTTCTTGCCATCGACGGTGCCGGATGACAGGATGTGATAGCCTGCGGACGACCTGTTGTTCTCCTCATTGCGGGCTTCCTGAATGCCTACGAAAAGAACCCCTGCTGTATGGAACTGCATCCGTAGGGTGGCCCCCGAGGTTTTTGCAGCACGGGCCCGAGTAGGCCCCACGTCCCTGGCAGAGGTGGCGTTAAAGCTGGCCACCTTAAAACTGAGGGCTACAGCAACTTTGCTCTCTTGGACTGGGGGGAGGGTCTGGAAAGGTTTTTGTATACACCGAGGTGGGGCCTGAGCGGTCATAATGTTGTCATCCGTGATGGGGTACTGGGCCCTGGTCTTGACGTCGGCGTCTAGTAGCCAAGCCCAATCTAGAATAACTGAGTAAGTTAGAGCGAGACGTAGTTGTTCAGGGGGGGGGGGGCCTTGATACTCTTCAGATCGTGCAATAGAATCAGCCAATTCGTTCCACGGGTTCCCTGAGTGACCATAGACGTGCTGGATAGTTACGCCATACCTACGATAGGTAAAATCACGAACGACAAATACGAGGTTGACCAAGTCGACATTAGTGTCGGGGGCGAACTCCCCTAAGGCTAACCCGATTGCTGATAGGTTGTCACAAAATATCACGAAGTTCGGCCTCATCGACGGATGGGCTGTCTCACTGGCTGGACCATAATGTGCTAATATCCAGATACATGACCAAAGAATGCCTAATAACTCAATCGTGGTGCTGGAGATATCAGCTGGAGGGATGAGGATGTTGGTAGAGCAGGTCGCACTCATTTTAGCGAAGCCCATGAAGCTCACGACATCGTCTCTGCTCGTGCCGACCGTAACGAAAGCCCAGGCGTCCCCACCTCTACCCTTGTGCGAGCCGTCACAGTAGAGGTGGATTGACTTAGGGCGATCTACTCCTCTGGCTGCAACCTCCAATGCAAATGAAGCTGGCGGTGTTAACCTGATTCCTGAAACATCATATTCCGGGGTAAACCAATTTTCAAAACTCTGAATGATCTCGAACATCTTGCTTGCATCCTTGAAGCTGCAGCTCTCATAAGTCTCCACAGGCGCCACTGCCACGGGAGGGAGGAGGAGATCAAGGGAAAGCTGAACAGGCGCCTGGGTCTGGCCAGAGCCTTGGCGTTCGACCTCCTTTAAAATCAAAGGGGAACGAAACACTAAATCTGGAACCTGGGCCGAAGAAGGGCCTGGGACCGACGCTTCCACAGAGGACTGATTAAGTCCTGACGCGAAGATGGGGATACCTACAGACCCGGCAGGTATCCCTGAGGTATTTAAGCTAAGTCGAGAAGCGGCAAAAGAATGAACAGGCGAAGCTTGGCGTGCTGATTCAGAGGGGGGCAAAGGTGGCTCTGGCGCCCTGGGGCCCTCAGCGGGCGGCGGCCAGCGAGGCGCGAGGGCTCCAGCACATGTGTTCCCAGCTGGGCCTCTCAAAGCCTGCCCCCGAGATTCATCATTCATTGTTGACAGTGCGCTGCCGCCATAATGCGGCAAGGGCGGCGCGCAAATTACATGCTTAAGTATTGGCCTGGGCACCCGTGCTCCGGCCGCCTTGCTCCCAGGCGGCGGGAGGGGCGCTGGCGAGGCTGGGTCAAAACTGCGCACCTGGACGAGCGGGCTCAGATATACCCGGCGTTGCCCTGGTGGCCGCTGGTCGGGGGCTACTGCTCCTGCTCCTGGTCGTGGGGCAGGCACTGGTACTTGTGGGGCGGCGAGTGGCCGTCCTCGGTCTTCCTGACCTCGTTCTTGGTCTTTGATTCGGCAGAGCGTGGCCTCGGCGCCTTCTTCGGTGGCGGCGGCGGCCTCGGGCTGGTGGGTGTCCCCCTCGGCGGAGGTGGCGGCATGCTGCCTCCAGCCCCTCTGCCACTGACGGAGGCCTCCTCCGTGCTGGTCGCCTGGGCCTCGCTGCCAGCGAGGCGCGCGCCAGCGGCTCCCGCAAAGGTCGGCGGGGGAGCCAGTCCTTGCATCCGCTGGGTGGCCGCAGGCGACGTCGGTGACGGCTGCGTGGGAGGCGGCGAGGTGTCGATCTGGATCATCGCCTGGTACTGGCCTAGCAGGTGATGCGGGCCTGGAATATGCTCTTCCTGGGATGCCATCGCCTGCGTAGGCGAGATGGGGTCCAGGTGGGGAGCTGGCACCTCCTCCGCCTCCTGGCTGGGCATCGCCGCCGCCTCCGCATCGCTGTCTGCAGCAGTGGGGCGCGGCACGCCCTCCGCCCTCGGCGCCGCGCTGGGGGCGGGGCGCGCAGGAGCGGCCTGGGCTGCTGCCTTGGCCTGCTCGGTCATCGGCTCCAGGTTGCGGGGGTACCCGAGGAAGTCCGAGGCGGTACGCTCTGGCGGCCTGGGCTTCATCAGGTGCTCCTTCGAGGTCGGCATGACGATCTTGGTCTGTCTGGGCAGCACAACCTTCGGCTCGTGGGGCACCGCAGGTCCTGCCATTGCCGTTGGTGACCTTGGGCATGGAGGGGGCCGAGCAGGAGGTGTCATCAACATGTGGCTGGGAGCTGCATGCTGCGGCTGGCTGGTGGGCGGCTCGGACGACGGGATGGGATCTGCCTGCCTCGGCGTCCCATGCTGCGCTATGGGCGTGGCCGTGCCCGTGATCGGCGTCTTGGGCATGGGCACTGGGGCTGTGCCCGCTGCCGCCGCTGCTGCCATTGCTGCTACCGTCTGCTGCATCCAAGTCCCCTGCGGCCCAGGATCCGCCCTCAGCGAGGCTGGATCCTGGGCTACGGGAAACCCCATGGCCACGTCATCGGCGGGCTGAGGCATCGGCGGCGACGGAGGGAAGGCCGCCGTCGGTGCGGCCGTCGGGGGGGCCTTAGCCTTCGACGCTGCCTGTGCGACCGCCTCCTGGGCAGCGGCGATCTGGGCAGCCGCAGCAGTTTGGGCCGCCGCCGCCTGCAGAGCCGCCGCCGCGCTGCTGTCGAAGTGCATCTGCTGGCCCGTTTGTGCCGCGAACATCTGCTGCTGCTGGGCCTGGGCTGCGGAGTGCAGCTGCTGATTCATGGCTTCAATGAGCTTGTCGGTCTGTTCCTGCCGTGTGACCATCGCGTGCATGTATTCCAGCATCTGGATGCGCTCACTGACCGCCAAGGGTTGCAGGACCTGCTGGGGTGGGGCGGCGGACGCGAGCTCAGGGCCTTTTGGGGCGGCCTCTGTCGCACTGGCTGGGGGCCTGGCGGAGGCACTGGACCCCACCGCAGACGGCGGAGCTGCCACCGGTGAGCCCCAGCCTCTCCTCAGGCGCGGGGGCTCGGGAGGCTCTGGAAGCCTGCTTCCCGCATCCTGGGCTGGCGCTGTCATGTCCACGTCGCCGTCCGCATGGATCCACTGGTCGTAGCCAACCTCCGAAACCAGTTGCTGCACCTTCTGCTCCAGCAATTCGATGTTCTCAATAATCTTTTCTTCCTCTAGACGAAGGGCCTCACGTCGATCACGGATGCGTTGCAGTCTCTCTCTGGCGGTCAATAGGTCCCCTCGGGCATACTGCACTTGTCGCTCTGGGCCAGCACAAGCTTCGAGCATGAACTTGAGGACGGCCATTTCTTCCACTAGGGTGTCATCCTGCCTGCCCATATCGAGGGAGCTCTTGTACAGGTTCGCCCTCTTGTTTAGCTGTGTACGTGTCTCCTTCCGAAACGCTGCCAATATCTCTGGGTCATCGCTGGTCGAAGGAGGGAGCCTCCAGACTGTCGTGTTCTGGTACGCCTGGTCTGGGGTCGCTGATGGCAGCTCCTTGACCATGAGTTGAAGCTCCTGCTGCTTTGCCTTGGCCTGCTGCCTTCTGCGGCTCGCTGACCTTGGCCGATGCTGCTGCTGCTGCTGCTGGTGCTGCTATTGGTGCAATGCATACTTGCTGCGAGCAGCTGGCTGGGCCTTGGCTGGCACAACTGGCGCTCGGTTAGCTGGCACATCTGGATTTCTGTGTCCGTTGTGCCATTGGTATCCACAGTGGCATCTCCACACACTGTTGGGCACCAGTCGAAAGCAATTCTGACATTTCCAATTCCTGCTCATCTGATTGAAAGAATGATGAGTGGCCAGCGTGGCCTGGGCCTTGGCCAGCGCAACGAGCAATCTGGCTCGCCCTCGCTGCGCCCTGGCCCGCTTATGCCAGCTCGGTTCCTTGACTGGGCGCCTGCTGCGCGCCGTCGCGCGCTGCCGCGATGCCGCCTGTCGGCAAGCGGCGCGACGCCTGAGCCACGGGCTCGCCAAAATGGCCTGAGCCCAAATGGCTTTCCTCCTCCTCCTCCTCCTCCTCCTCATCCTCCTCCTCCTCCTCCTCCTCCTCCTCCTCCTCCTCTTCCCAAGCCAGGAGGGTGTATACACCGCTACTGTGCACAGGTTGGGCCAGGCCTGGGGCAGTGGATTTGCATAGATCCCGTTGCCCTATCATCGGGTCCCTGGTGCAGCGACGGCGGGTCCTGTGGTGCCTCAAGGGCTTCGCCTGCCTCTGCCCGCGCTGCAGCGAGGAGGCCGCTGCGGGGGACCCGGCCCGCGCGCTGCGCTGCGTTTCCTGCCAGGCCGGTTGTTTGCTGCGCTGGTGTTTCCGCCCCGGCAGCGGCGCTTTCGGCTTCCGCGGCGACCGATGCGGCGGCGCGCCAGGGCGCGAGGAGGAGTTCTGAGGAGGAACAGGTCCCGATACCGCTACCCTTTGCCGCGCTTTTCCTTTTTAGGGCCTCATCGGAGACCCCCGTCGCCTCTGCTGGACTCGCCTCGTGATTTGATCGGAGCGCCCCCCGGGAGGCGTCCAGGGAGTCGCGTTATTGGTGCCCGCTGGTTTCCACAGGAGCTGCGGGAGCTGCAGGCCTCGGCGGAGATGATGTTCTTGCTGCTGAACGAGCGGCAGCGGGAGAGCGCGGCGCTGCTCGAGCCCCTGCGGCAGCGGCTGGCCGAGCTGCCCGAGTGCCACTGGGCGTGCCAGGGGCTCCGCCTCCTCGACCTCTCGACGGAGGGCCGGCAGCTCGCTGGAGGCGGCGGCGCGGCGCCGCAGGCCGCGCAGCAAGAGCGGGCGGCGCCGTGGGCGCAGGGGGCCCTCCGCGCCGACGACTGGCTCCGCGAGGCGCGCGGCGACGGGCACGGGCTGATGTCCTTCCGCCTCGCGCCGCTGGTGCTGGAGCTCGCCGCGGCCGGGTTCGCGGACTTGCTGGGCGGCGAGCTGCTCGGCAGGGCGCGCGCCGCGGCCGCGCTGGAGAGGGTGATCTACGGGGACGACGACGGCGACAACGGCGGGCGGGGCGCGGGCTGAGAGCAGCGCGGGCGGGCGGTGGCGCCTCGACGATGCCCGGCCGCCGCCCATGGAGGCGGACGCGCGCGCACTTTCCTTCCGACGCCGGCCTCGAGGAGCAGCACACCAGCGGACCAGCGGGCCCGACGGTAGCCACCGTCGACGTCCTTTATCAGAGGAGGGCCAGTTGAGCGGCGCGGGGAAACGGGGTCGATTGCGCCGACAGTCGCGCGCAAGCTTCCCGCGTAAGGTCGCGCGTAAGCACCCTCTCTCCATGCGGTGTGCCGCGCTGGTGCATACGCCGCGGTAGAAGGTCCCCAATGTCATCCTGCGTGGAGCCCGTGTTTTCCGTCGCTCAGTTAAGATAATTGTAGGTGGTGTTCGGGGAGTCCCCTCGTCGCCACAGCTGGACGCAGCTCGGAAAATTTGCCCGTGTGGACCCACAGGGAGGGGTCCCAGGACCGATTTTGAGCTGCCGTTGTCTCAACTCGTCCTGCTCCGCTTCAGCTCCTCGATGGCGGGCGTCGGCGCGCGCCGAGGAGGGTGTCCCGCCACTCGAGCAGAGCGGGACGCCCTGCCCGCGCGCACGAGAAGAAAGGTCAACGACAGGGGTTTGGAGGTAGGAAAGGGGTGTGGTGTAAAGGCGTGTGGCGCCAATGTGATTGGCGCGTTCCAAAAACGGCCTTGCCTTCGGGGATCGAAGGAGTTGCCATCTCTTCCTCGGCGGAAGGCCGGCGGAAGTAAAACGGCGGCAGTTCGGGCAGCAGAAGCCAGCAGAAGGCCGGCAGAAGCAAGCGGAAGTAAAAATCGCCCCATTCAAGAGATGGAAACGTTTTTGGGTTCAGGGGTTCCGGAAATCGGCCATGCAATGGGTGATTTGGCGACGTTATCTATCGTAGGTGACATCGCCATGCCCACGATTGGCACCACACCCTTCTACGACATCCACACTGGGGTCCTCCCCCTCCTCATCCCGCCGCCCTCTTGCGGCCCAAACTGCAGCCCCCTGCGGGGCTCACCGCAGCTGTCGCTTCTCAGGGTGGAGGCACCCGCCCAGCAGTTGCGAGCTTCACTCGCGCGCCCTCGACGACGACCGAGCCGAGGTCGACTCATTCGAGGCGTGCGTATACGTTCTCGCCTCGCATTCTGGGACGTATGTCGGCAAAGCCTCGCTTGCCCGTGCTCGGGCGTCCGGACTCGGAGCCTCTTTGGCGTCGTGGTCGTTTCCGTCGTCGTTGTCGCCGTGGTCGTCCTTCCTGGTCATTCCTCCTCTTCCCTCGTCGTCGTCGTCGTCGTCCGTCGTCGGCGTCTCGTCGTCGTCCCTCCTATTTCGTCGCCGTCGTCGTCGTCGTCGTCTTCCCTCCTCCCTCGTCGTTGTCGTCGTCGGCGTCGCCGTCCTCCCTTCTTCTTCGTCGTTCGCGTCGTCGCCGTCCTCCCTCCTCCCTCGTCGTTTCGTTGTCGCCGTCGTCGTCCTCCCTCCTCACTCGTCGTCGTCGTCTTCCTTAGTGACGTCGTCGTCGTCGTCGTCGTCGTCGGCGTCGGCGTCGTCGTCGTCGTCGTCGTCGTCCTCCTCGTCGTCGGCGTCGTCGTCGCCGTCGTCGTCGTCGGCGTCATCGTCGTCGTCGTCGTCGTCAGCGTCGGCGTCGTCGTCGGCGTCGTCGTCGTCATTGTCGTCGTCGGTGTCGCCGCCGTCGTCGTCGTCGTCGTCATCGTCGTCGTCGAAATCGTCGGAGCCGTCGTGGGTGTCGTCGTAGTCGTCGTCGGCGACATTTTCGTCGTCGTTGTTGTCGCTGTCGTCGTCGGCGTCGCTGTCGTCGCCAAGTGCCATTTGGTATCCACCTTCGTGGTCTGAAGATGCCTTGCGACCAAGTTGCGGTTGGGAGGGTGGGATGTTTGCACGAGCAGTGGAGAGGACAGCTTCAAGACAGTCAAAGTGGATTTCACCACATAGATTGCACCGCCTAGATTGCATTACATAGGATGCCGCGCGTAAATTGTACGACATAGATTGCACCGCTTAGACTGCAAGCACGTACTGTTTGGGATCCTCGCTGACGAACATATACCTGTACATGTATACATATATATATATATATATATATATATATATTCAAACTATACATGTATGTATGTATGCATGCATGCATGTATGTATGTATGTATGTATGTATGTCGCCTCGCCGTTTGTTCTGACGTTCATCATTACGTCTTGGGGAGGGCGCGTCGGCCACCAGGGCTTACCGTGGGTTTGCCGTGGTGCCGGCGCCGTCCATTTGGGCGCGTCGAGAAAATGCGGCGCGGCGACATGGGAAGTGGAAAGACGAACATCCAGAAAATATGAAAAAGGGTGCGAGAACCTTGGGATGTGTGCCTATTTCTTCGTGTGCCCTTGGGCCCCTTTTTTATGCAATAGATATAATATATATATATATATATATATATATATATATATATGTATATATGTATACATCTATATATGTGTGCCGCCGCGCAATTTGTTCCGACGAGCGGCCTTGCGTCTTGGGGAGGGCGTGTCGGCCACCATGGCACAAGCCGCCTCGGGCGCGGTGGTCTCGCCGTGTGGTTTGCCACGGTGCTGGCTTCGTCCACTTGGGCGCGGGGCGCAGGGCTTGCTCTGGGATTACCGTGGTGTCAGCGCCGTCCACGTGGGCGTATCGAGAACATGCGGCGCGGCGACAAATGGGAAACATTGGAAGTGGAGGGGAAGACGAACACCGAGACAGCATTGAAAAGATGGGGAACTTTAGGATATGTGTCTATTGATGTGTGTGCCCCTGTCCCCGTGCTGTGTATATATATATATATATGTATGCATGTATGTATGCATGTATGTATGTATGTATGTATGCATGTACGTGTATGTATGGATGAATGTATGTTCGTATGGTTTTTGCGTATGTATGATTGTATGTGTGTAGACATGTATGTATGTGCGTGTGTGTATGTATGTTTGTATGTATATATGTGTGTATGTATGACTGTTTGTATGTGTGTATGTATGTGTGTATGTGTATGTGTATGTGTATGTGTGTATGTGTATATGTGTGTATGTGTGAATGTCTGTATGTCTGTATGTCTGTATGTCTGTATGTATGTATGTATGTATGTGTATGTATGTCGCCTCGCCGTATGCTCCCTCGCGTGGCTTTGCTTCTTGGCGAGTGCACTTCGGCCACCAGGGCAAACGTCGCCTCGGGCGCGTTGGACTCGCAGTGGGCTTTGCCGCGGTGCCGCCCTCGTCTACCTGGGGCGCGGGGTGCAGGGCTTACCGTGGGTTCGCCGTGGTGTCGGCGCCGTCCACTTGGGCGCGTAGAGAACATGCGGCGCGGTGACATATGGAAACTATTGGAAGTGTAAAGGAAGACGAACATCCAGAAAACAAGAAAAGTATGGGAAACCTTGTGATATGTATCTGTAGATGTGTGTGCCCTTGGGCCTCTTTACGTATTGTGTTATATGTTGATATAAACATATGCAAATACACATACAGATACATATACATGTGTATATTTATATATATATATATACATGCATACACTCCCCTCCCCCTGTGTGTATATATACATACATACATACATACATACATACATACATACATACATACATACACACATACATACATACATACATACACTCCCCTCCCCCCAGGGGCGACCAAGGCCGCCAACCTCAGGGCCCCCCATCTCGCGGGCGCCCGGAGGTGGCCATCGAGCGCCTCTCTGCGCGCAAGGCGGCGCTGGAGGAGCCGTCGCGGGGGGTGCCGCGGGGCTGGGCCGGCGGGACTGGGCAGCGGCTCGGGTGCTGCCAGGGGTGCCCTTGGCCCAGGGTGCCCCGAGGATTTCAAGGAGGCCCCCACGGCCTGCAGAGGCCAGGGAGTGCCACGGCTGGTACTTCTCGCCACGGGGGAAGCGGGTCCTGCGGTTTTTCGCCCTTATCTGGCTTTGGGGGCCCTCCACGGGCCCCGGGGACCGTCAGGAAACGAGTCAGGAGGAAGAATGGGTCCTGGGGGAAGGCTTCAGGGCCCAGGGCCAGTATCCCTCAGGACCCGCTTCCCCCATGCCAATGTAGCGACGGCCTCGACTTTGGCAAGATTCCAGCCTTTCCGGGGTCAGCAGGGGCGAGTGAGGCTTCTGTTCCCCCTGGTACTTCGCCGCCCTCCCAGGGAGGTGTACAGGCGTTGAGCGGGTCTGCCCAGACCTGGTCTGGAGTGGCGGTGGCCTTGGGCGGGTTCTTGCAAACGGCGGGGCCGTTTTTTTTCTCCGTTTCAAGACACCTTGATCCTGAGAACGGAAACAGTAAGAAAACGGTTCGAAGAAATTGAAAGATTGCTTTGGGATTGAAAACGAAGCTGGAACCGAAAAAATGCAACGGGACCAGGAAAACGGCGCCAGAACAAGAAAACCAATGGGTAACGAGAACGGAAAAGAACGGCACTTTCGATTCCAAGAACAACGAAGGGTTGGTAAGGCTTCGGGCTGCGCACAGACAGCCCTCCAAGGCAGTCCAGGCGGGCCTCAACTGGGCTCCCCGAGTAGACCCAGCTGGCCTCAACAGGCCCCGAGAAGTCCAGGGCGGTCTCAACACTTCAACCTTGGGGCGCGGAGCTTCGGGTGAGGCTTCGGGTTGCGCACAGACAGCTCCCCCCAGGCAGTCCCAGCTGGCCTCAACAGGCCCCCGAGCAGGCCCGAGTAGGCCTCCACAGGCCCCCCGAGTGGTCTGGGGCGGTCTCAACACCTCAACGTTGGGGCGCGGAACGCCCCTGGGGCGCCGTCGGAGGCGGCGCCAGGATGTTGACTGCCCTGGGCTTCTCGGGAGGCCTGCAGAGGCCCGCTGGGACTCCTCGGAGGGCCTGTTGACGCCTGCCGGAGCTGTCTGCGCGCAGTCAAAAGCCTCATAAGCCGCTGGGCTTCGCCAGCAGGCTCGGGCAACGACACTTTTTTGTTTTGATCTGCAGGGCGAGAGCAAGCCTCTTCCGCTGAAAGCTAAGCGGGACGCGCACAGCTTTAATTAGCAGAGAAACGCGGGCAACGACACGGACGTGCCAAAAGACACCCCACTCATGCGACCACGTCCCCAAAAAACAAGCGAAATACACCATGTCCTCCTATCTATCCACCAAGCGACTCCAGCGACGAGAATCACACTGTGCGCGCGTCCACCACGGGATCGACGTCGGCACAGGCATCAAGACCACGAGGCCAGCCCCCGCCCACGACCTACCGCCGGCCTCCAGGGCCGGCTGCTTGGCCCCAGGAGCGGTGGAGGACATTTTTCTTCAGATTCGGGCATGTTTTATTGCATGGCATTCCCGCCCCCACAAGTAACGTGCACTTGATCTCAACTGTGTTTTCTCCACCGTGCGCTCCGCTCAACGGTGTGCTGTCAGCGAGGCCGTTCTGCCATTGTGGGCTCTTCGGGCTGTACCGACATGAGTTGTGGAGAGGGGGCGAGAGCAAAAAAGATTCAGCATGTTGAACTCGACACTGTATTGAAAAGTAGGTTCAGAGTTTGCATCCACTGTGTTGCATCAGATTGGGAAGAAGATGAAGAGAAGACAAGAAAAGAAAAGAAAAGATGAAATTGAGTCCACCGCATGACCCAACCAACCTACCCACGAATGCTGGC